TAGTTCTGCTCTATAGCCTCTCTTCACCTGAAAATCCAAGTCCTGTGAATGGAGATCGGTGTCTTTTTCTTAAATCTCCTGAATATTTTAATGGGGATTATTATTTGGAGATCGCTTTTTAGTTTTCGGAATTTTCTCCTTAACTTTTGACAAAATCATTTTTGGTTTCAAACCAGTCTTTTCATCTTTCCAGGGTGAAGTAAGGTAAACTTCACTACACAGCTGCCTGACATAATGGGTGAAAAGCTTCTTGTGATGACTGTAATTGATCAAGTGGAGAAGCAATACTCAATCTTAGAAGTTTTTAAAACCCAGCAGTTATTTCATTTTACAACTCCCTCACAAACTTCATTTTTATATTTAAAATACATTAATATCAATGTAGAATTAGATAGCTTTTAGAGTTAATACCTAGAAACAGAATGTTAGTGCTAGAAGGACCAGAGGTATGTTAGCTAGCTACTGTGTTTGTCTGCTTTTTCAGTCAAAGCTAACATTTAAAGTCAGGAAGATGGATCTATATATATTGATCTGGAGGAATGTTCATGATATATTGTCAAGTGTAAAAAGCAAGTTACAGAGTAAATTGATGATATGATTCCATTTTTTTTAAGGAAAGAAAGAAAACCTATATAAAATAACACCTGGATGCAGAATGTTAGAACTAGAGAGGTCCTTGGGTAACAAAACAAAACCTTCCTGTTACATTGAAGAGCAAATTTGAAGGTCAGAGAGTGATATCACTAAGGTCACAAAGCTAGTTAGTAGCAGAATCAATTCTACAAGCCCCATCTCCAGACTCCACTATGGCACTTTGTCTGCAGACTGTGCCTATAACAAAAAATCCATAAAGGGACAAAGAACTCAGTGATATAGCTACCATTTTGTGGTAGGAGCACCATTAGTGAAAATATGATTCTCATTTTAAGTTGTAAACCAAAGTGTAAAAGAGATGATTATTTCTCCCCCACCAAAAGTAGGATCATTAAAACAAGTACTCATAATATGCTTCCTAGTTTCTGAATTTCTCTCTATCAGAAGGCTCTCTTTTTTCCTTTAATATTTTATTGATTTCATCAGTTTATGTTCATTTTACAATGTTAATCTGAAATGTTTATCTTGATAGTAAGGAACATTTTTGCATAAAGTGTGGAATTTGCCCCAATGCCTAGCACAGTGCCTGGCTGAAAGTAGAGACTTAATATTTGTCAAATGAATAAATTAAAGATTGAATTCACTTGCCTTTTTCTGAAATGCTTCCTTTTTTTCTTGATTATTAAAATATGGTTTTGGTGGCTAAGATTGCCATATACCTTTAAAAATGTATACTAGATTAAATTTGGATAAATGTTACATTTATTTCAAAATTAAACTAGTTTGATAAGTGGTTTATTCATCCTCTTTTTCTTTAGTTGGTGAGTGAACATGTGAGACAGTCCTTTTATATGCCTGATATTTCTTTTCTTTTCTTTTTTGAGTTAGAGTCTCACTCTGTCGCCCAGACTGGAGTCCAGTGGCCGTGCCCGGCCACCGCAGCCTCGACGTGCTGGGCTCCGGCGATCCTTACGCCTCAGTCTTCCAAGTAGGACTGATATTTCTTTTGCAGCATCATACAATGTCACATCAACCCCCAGAAGTCATCGTATAACGAACATGCTGAGTATCTGCTTGCTCGGTAGTGTTTTGCTTCACATTAAGGTGTTGTGCATTGTAATTTTTTTCTGCCTATTTGCCTCTGGTTCCCCATTAGGCTGCCTGGGAGATGACTTCACCATGTGTTGGTAGAATTGTCCAAAGTAAAGTGAGACCAAGAGAGAGGATATCTGAGTCTCAGGCCTACATCTGCTTCCAAATAGTTTTACAATCTTGGAATCCTTGTTCACTGAACCTCAGATTTCTCATTTAAAATGAGATATCTGCAGATCAGTGATGTCAAAACCTTTTTTGTGTAGTTTTAGAACTCTTGTTTCAAATTAAATTTTTCACAGAAAACTCCCTTTCCTCTGTAAGCAGGTACCATAACTGAACCCATAAAACCATATGAATCAAAGTTTGAAAACCACTGCATTATGTCCACTATCAGAGAATGGATTTTTTAAAGATGTGGTAAATTAATACAATGAGATATTATTCTGCAATAAGAAGGATCAAATTACCAATACATGCAACAATATACATTAGTCTTAAAAGCAGGCTGAGTGAGAGAAGCCAGACACAGAAGGGTACATACAGAATGATTCTATTTAGGCAATATTAGAAAATGAAAACTAACATATAGTGAAAGAAACAAAGGGTAGCTAGTCCCAAACCAGGGGAAATGAGGCCTAGTTGGAGGCCCAAACTTAACCTGTGTTCAGACTACTTGTGTAGTTAGTCCTTACCTGTACCTCACAACTCTATAATAAAATAAAAGAAAACAATAAAATAAAGAAATCAGTTCAATGATTTTCAAGAATTGGTGGTGGAAGGAGAAATGGGTTACAAAAGGCACAAGGAAATTTTTGGAGGCAACAGAATTGTTAGGTAGCTTGATTGTAGTGGTGATTCTATAAGCATCTGTCAAAACTCATAGTATTGTACATTGTAATTGTATAAAATTTATTGTACACAGATTTTATCACAATAAAATTGATTAAAATATCACTGCATCAAATCATCCCTAGTGTTTCCTATAGCTCAGATATAGTAAGTGGGATTTGGAATCAATTAGACCTAAATTTAAATACTGGCTCTGCTATTTACTGTTTCTGTGGCCATGGGAACATCACTTAAATTCTATGAATCTTAGTTTCCTTATTTCTGATATGGATTGAAATAGCACTACATCATTGAGCTGCTGTGAGATTTTTTTTTTTTAGAATTTTTAAAAATGGATTTATTCAGTGTGAAATCTTTGTCTGGCTTACATGCAATACACTAATTTTCATATTCATGCATGTTGTGTATCAATAATTGGTTCCTTTTTATGACAGAGTAGTATTCCATTATATGACTATTATGTGATTTGTTATGTTGTGAGAATTTTATGTGATAATGAATATAGAGAGATTAGCTCAGTGTCTGGCATCTAGTAAGTGTTCAATACATGTCCACTGCACTTATAATTCTATGAGTCCAAATCGTTTTATAGATTTAGTTTTAAAAGTTCAGAAGAGGCATATATGTGATCTGAATTCTAATTTTGACCCCGGAAGCAATTATGTATGAATTTACATAAGTCTCACCACTTACTCTGGATCTCTGTTTCCTCACTGTTAATTAATTTGGGGGAATTGTGCTGTCTTTCTTATCAACTTCATAGAGATATTGGGAATGTAAAATAAACTAATAGATTAGAAAGAAGTTTGGGAAAGCAAAAATAAAACATTCTACACAAATGTAGGAAATGGCTATGATATAATTTTTTCATGATTCCAAAGTTAGGTAAAGCAAGGAGATTTTGCTTACATAAGGTGCATGCCCTTAATAAAGTTGTCTTCTGGCCTTTTGTGATGCCATTCGTTGTCTCATTTTCACTTATGCCTTGCCTGCTGCCAACACTCATAGGAGAGTCCTTTGTTGTATAGTTTCCTTCTGTTAGTGAAAAAATTATCTGATAAGCTTCTTTACCTGAAGGTGAGTAATAGGTAACCACTAACCGTGTTCTATGTAAAGACAGCAAAAATAACACCTTGAATGGCAATTCAAGTCTCTTTTTTCTTTCTTTTTAAAAGAATATAGGGTACAATTCAGGGTTAGCTATACAAATAGTCAATGTACAGGTAAAGTTTGGCCTCACTTTGGTCCTCACTTCACCTGGTTTGATATCAGGAACTCTTATTGATGAAGTGTTCCCCACCCCCTAGCAGTTTCCCACAAATGCCAACCCCTTTCTTATAGTATTATAATAACTGTTCATGGTCTACTTATGAGTGGGAACATGTGGTACTCAGTTCTTTGTTTCTGTGATAGATAACCAAGAATTATACACTCTAAATCCATCGAAGTTGCTGCAACGTTCATAATTTTATCCTTCTATATGGCTGTGTAATATTCCATCGTGTTTATATACCACATTTTAAGGCCTAACATCTGTGATCTACAAGGAACTCAAACGTGCCGAAAGGAAAACAAACAAACAGCAGTATTAAAGAGTGGGCAAAAGATATGAATAGACACCTCTCAAAAGAAGACATACTAGCAGCCAGCAGATACATGAAAAAATGCTCAGCTTCACTAATGATCAGAGAAATGCAAATTAAAACCACACTGAGTTACTACCTAACTCCAGTCAGGATGGCCATCATCAGTAACTGAGAAAACAACAGATGTTGGAGAGGATGTGGTGAAAAGGGAACGTTCCTGCCTGTTGGTGGGAGTGTAAACTAGTACAATCTCTGCGGAAAACAGTGTGGTGATTCCTAAAAGATCTAAAAATCGGCCCTCCATACAACCCAGGAATTCCCCTTCTGGGAATATACCCAGAGGAACTCAAATCATTCTACAAAAAAGATACCTGTGTTCGCATGTTTATTGCAGCACTATTCACAATAGCAAAAACATGAAAACAATTGTGCTGGCCATTCAAAGTAGATTGGATTAAAAAAATGTGGTACATGTACATGATAGAATATTACACAACCATAAAGAAGGACAAAATTCTGAACTTCGCAGCAACTTGGATGGATTTAGAATCTGTAATATTCAGTGACCTGTCACAGATACAAAAAACTGAGTACCACATGTTCTCATTCATAAGCGGACCCTGAACAATTATCATAATACTACAAGAAAGGGATTGGCAGTAGTGGGAAACTGCCAGGGGGAGGCACACTTGATCAATAAGGGTATCTGATCTCAAACCAGGTGAAATGGGGACCAAAGTGAGACTCAAACTTTACCTGTACAGTGACCATTTGTACACCTAACCCTGAATTGTACCCCACATTCATAAAATAAAAATTTTTTAAAAGAAATAAATTGGAAAAAATGCATTTTTAAATTAAGAAAAGAAACAAAGGAGGCTTATGTCATTTTTGCCATAACTTTCCTTATTGCCCCTTTAACATCTCTGTTCCTCAGGCTATATATCAGGGGGTTCAGCATGGGTGTTAAAGCCCCATAAAACACTGAAATAAACTTGTCCCGGTCAGTGGAAGACTTGGACTGAGGTTTCATATACATGGATATGGCTGCCCCATAGAAGACTGTCACCACAACCAGGTGAGAACCACACGTGGAAAAGGACTTGAGCCTTCCCTGAACTGAGTGAATACTTAGGACAGCAGCAACAATTCGTACATAGGAGAGCAGAACAAACCCAAAGGGTAGGAGCAGGGTGAAAATGCTGGTGATGAGGATCATAAGCTCATTGAAGCTGGTATCAGAACAAGCTAGCTTAATGATGGAGAGAATCTCACAGACAAAATGGTTGATGACATTAGCCTCACAGAATTGAAGCTTCAGGGATAAAATCAGCATGGCAGTGAGCACAAGTGATGCCCCCCATGAAGTAGCAGCCAACCAGATACATACTGGGCCATTCATGACCATGGAATAATGCAGAGGATTGCTGATAGCAACCACACGGTCGTAGGCCATGACGGCCAGGAGGAGACATTCTGCTGTGGCCAAAGTTAAGGAGACACTCATTTGGGTCAAACATTGTGGATAAGAGAGGAAGGGATGGGTAGAGAAACAATGCACCAAGGCCTGGGGCATAGAAGCTGTTCCATAGCAAAGGTCTAAGAAAGATAGGTTAGCAAGGAAGAAGTACATTGGAGTGTGGAGGTGGGAGTCAAAGTGGATAAGAAAGATCATAAGTCCATTACCCAACAATGTGCTGAGGTAAGTTATCAGCACCAATGTGAAAAACGTGACTCTCCACTCAGGATAATTAGAAATGCCAATAAGGAGAAACTCAAACACTGCTGTGGCATTGTCCATGGCCATTCTTCTGTCTTTCCACTATTCATTGAATGGGAGCCATTGCTGCTGCCTAATGCTACCTGAAAGAAAAAGAATAAAGATGGATGGTGTGAAAGGTGGAAATAATTAGAATGTGCAGGATCATTATCTTTGTCCTTTTCAGAAGACATGGGACACAAATAGGATATCTATAATGGGAACAGAGGCAAAGATAAAAATCCCCTCCTCAACCTTGGGAAAATTAAAAGTTCCTTATCCTTTTGATAATGGTTATATGAAAATTTCTCTATTCCTCTGCCAGATGCCTCTTTAGATAATTTTCTCCAACTAAATAGAGAAGAAACGGAGGTCCTCTTCCTGGTTCTCTCATTTGTTCTTCATTTTTGAACTAAATCTGATTCATAGACACAGTTGAACCTAAATTAGCTTGGGTTATTAATCTCCACCAAGAAGATACCTTCTGACAGATAAAACGTCTTAGTTAAAATATTATCTGTTCTTCTAACTGTCTCTCACTTCTAAATTGTGCATGCCTGCATTTTCCCATAGTAGCCAGGATCTATCATTGTGCCTGACATAGAATCGATGCAAAGTAATTCTTTAATTTGAACTGATATTATATAGATGGAGTAGTTTGTGGAATCCTTGAGGTCTTTGAGAACTTCTGCTAATATACTCAGCTGAAGTTACGTTTCTAACTTCTCATGTGCTCTGTGCTGTGTTTGTTGAGACCCAGGAAGGAGTGTGAAAATAGAATGTGGTGTTTCTAAAAGTGTGTTATGGAGATGACTTGAGTAAGCAGCCTCACTGAAAAGGCTTTGTCTTTCTATTTCCACCAATTTATTTTCCCTCACTCTGCTTTATATTTTATAGCACATTCCAATATCAGAAACTACATGGATTTGATTATTTGTTTATTCTTTGTCTTTCCCTTAAATGTAAATTTACTGAGAAGAAACCTTGTCTGCTTTGTTAAGCAGGTATCTCCCTGAGGCATCACAAGAACCCAATAGATAGTAAATGAATTACATGAATCATAAGCATTCATAGCTATTATCCAGAATTTAACTTCTCCTCTTGCCACCTGCACTGTCATCCTTTATTCCAATACACCGTCATCACTTACCTGGATTTTGCCAGTAATCCCCATATCATTTTCCCTGTTTCTAACCTTGTCTCCATTCAGTTTAAATGATCCAGTTAAATTATGAGATTTGGTCACTCTTCCATTAAACATTTTTAAAATTTTTATTGAGGTATGACTTAAATACAAAAACTTATACATATTTCATGTCTACATCTTGAGTGTGAAAATAAACATACACTCATGAGATAGTCACCACAAATAATGGCATAAATATAGTCATCTCTAAATTTTCCTCATTCTCTCTTTTATCTTCATAATAAGAACACTTAACATAAGCTCTACCGTCTTAACCAAGTTTTCAGTATACTATACCATGTTGTTAACTATAACTTCCCATTTCAACCTCATTAAACACCAATATCCTTACTATGGCCTCCAAGACCCTGCACAATTTGCCTCCCCATTACCTCTCTGACTCCAGTTTCTACTACCATTTCCCTTGCTCACTTTATTCCAGTCACACTGGCCTCCTCACACTCAATTCATCAAACACTCAAAGTACATCTCTTTCTTACAACCTTTCATCTTACTGCTCTATATTTATGAAAAACTTGCTGCTCTATATTGATAAAAGCCAGATTATTGCATGGCTCATCTTCTCACTTCCCTTAGGTCTTTTCTCACAAGGCATATTTTCAGTGAGTCTTTCCTGGGTCACCTTGTCTGGGAAATCATCTCTATACCTTGACATTTTATAACCCCTTTCCTACATTTTTTTCTTTTTAGAATGACATCTAGTGTACTGCCTAGCTTATACATTAACTATATTTATTGATTGTCTCTCATCTAGAATGTACGTTCAATGAGGTCAAGAAATTTTTCTGTTTTGTTCATTGCTATGTACCCAAAACCTAGAATAATATCTGGTACAGGATAGGTGCTCAATAATTATCTGCTGAAGGAATGTGTGAATGGAGTTCTTTAGCTGTACCATGTTGAAAGGGACATCTGCTTCTTTTTCCTTCTGCCTCTTCCCTTGACATTGCTGTTTATATGCCAAGCACCCCTTAATGTATATGTGCTCTTTCCTGAAACTAATTATCCCTTCTCTTTCTAATCCCCTCCTCAAAGCTTCTGATACTCACTAGCTATGTCTCAAGACAAGTTTCCTTCCCTCACTTGCCTGAATTTTCATTTCTAATCTGGTTAAATTAAATGACAGTTTAGAGCTCTTCCAGCTCTAACATGCTTGAATTCTCTACTTTCACTCAAATAAAGAAAAATAACAACTCCTCAGAGATTGGAAAATATACTACATTTTTTTTTCCTTTGTTGGAGAGACATGTGGGCTAGAGGAGGGATTTTCTAAGGGATGCAGTATCACTAACCATCTTTGAAATGAGAGAATAGTTTGTCCTTAAAAGTCTTTAGAAAAGAAGATTCATAACTTTTCCCGTCCATGTCCTGGCCTACTAGTAACCTATTCCGGTGTCACATTCTTTACTTTGCTCAGCCTGTCAGCTATGCTAAGTACATGTACATAATTAAGTAAATTCATGGGTATGAAAGTGTTTGCCATTTGTGAAGGAGTAATAAACAAATGTAAGGGATGGAAGGGGTGGTGGCATTCTTTCACAAGAGTGTCCTCAGAGCTTGAAAGTCCTAATGCTGCTTTTGCCTTCATTTATCGTGGAACCCTGAGAAAGAAGTTTTTCCTTGGCCTGCCTCCACTTGTCCATGTGAAAATTGAGAAAATTATTTCTACAGAGCAAGAACGCACAAAGATATGAGTCAAATGGCTACATGAAACAATGCCCTAAAACCTGTTATATTTTAAGCAAGTATAGTCATATTGTATTTTTTGAATAATTGGAAGTATATTTAGGTCCCAATTATATACACATGGGCAATTCATAGTGGAATATTTAAAAAGATGATAGGCAGGCTGCAGATGGGAGGATGAACTAGTTTTGCATAGAAGTAGACAGCTGGTCATTACACCATTTAAAGGTCTATGTTGCTCCCAGAACTCTAGAAAACACAAAGAAGTTGCTGTCAAATGTTAAATATTGATAGATGTTTCCTTCCTTATATGAATCTATCACTCCTACTGAGCCACACCGTTTTTCCAATATTGAAGGAAGGTTCAAAAGTGTCACTCATGAGCCCAGTAGAATAAATTGATGAGCCACTTGACTAAAAATTGATGATCAGTCTATGGCTATGGGGCAGACTTGATTTTTAAATGGTGTTAAACTTACTGGTAGAGATTGAGATAGAACCCATGATCTTGCCTCCATTAGTCCTGTGTTTGGATTCATAGAACTAAAATTGATGATACTTAAAGGCTACTCAACATATAAATCAGGGGTCTATTTTTCATTTGGTCTCAGCCCTGCCCTCCAAAGACAGTGCTGATTGTCTCATCCTAGAATTAACATTAAGATATTCCTGGAAAACTGAACCCAGTGTATTTTCCATCTTAGTTCTGTAACCTGCAATTATTTATCCATTCTGACTTTCTTTTTAACTAATGGCTGCCTCTTATTTTCCTAGCAATTGCCTAATTCAGATAGATGATTAAACACCCAAGTAAAGGAGAAAAGAAAAGAAATTAGAGACTTGTTCCGTTTTCTACTCACCAATGGAGGTTCCTTTCAAGTACCTGTAGATGGAGCAGAACGTGCTGCCAAAAAGAATAATTCTCCAAGGGTTGTCAGGTTTAGAAATGTGACGATCACTCTGCAAACTCTCTTGTTAAGATTTCAAAAACCATCCTAACTTCTCAAACTTGCAAATACCTGGAAATCTCTGAAGAAAAAAATTCTTTCAGATTAGGTCAAATCTCAATTGACAAACCATTTGATCTGCAGTCCTTGGTAAATGGTATCTGATTAAATTATTTAATTTTTTAGGCAAATAGTTCTTTCACTGACATTTAACCCACATATGATCTTATTCAATCTTCCCTAGAAAAGTTACAATATATAGAGGATTGAGGTCATTTGAATGCTTTGTATCAAGACCCTTAGGTTATTTCAGTTTGCAACTTGCTACTTTGGACATCTATTGCCTCTTGGCAATATTTATCTATCTATTATGTTATCTCTGTGAACTGGAACCCTATTAAACCAACCTGTCACTTTCTTTTAAAAAAATACAATAATGAGAACAAAAACAAGTGATAACAAAACATTCTGCACCCAAGGTTTTAAACTAAATTGGATGACTTCCAGTAGAGGTCCTGGGCTCTGTACATACTCCATCCCCTATTCAGTTCCCTATCCCTTCTTCACAACCTCGTGTCAAATATACAATCTGACACTTCCAGCGTCCTGTGCATCCCTCAGTCAGCAAAAGATCTAATGGCAGCCACTCTACCTATCTGCTAAGGCTGGATAAGGGTTTCAACCATTTCAAAAGCATTATATTGGAGTTGAAATCAAAAAAAAGTTTTTTGGTTATCCCTCACTTTTTCAGAAAATACAACTGACCACAATCTGCCATTCACTGGGCAGTTTGTTTTATAGAAACCGCACCATGTCTCCTCTTATCTCTACCTAGGCTCAAATACATCGATCTGCATGTTTATCTGGAAGCTGTCACCAGGCCTCTATCTCTGGGAGCATGTTCTGCTCTGAAGTAAATCTATAAATCCTTCATCTTTGGCCTACTCATGATGTCTGGGGTCCAATTCTCTTCCAGATTCAATTCCAAATGCAGGGAGTAAGCTAGTGAGCTGTTCAGTAACTCAAATAAGTTGAAGTTCCAAAGTGCTACCAGATCATTTATCTCACAAGTAGAGTTCAAAGTTTTTGATCTTCACCAGAAAGAAATAATTAACTTCTGAAAGCTTCAGGGACCTCATCCCAAACAGGCAATTAAGTTTTACCAAACCAGAGCTGTTTGAAAAAAAAGAAAAAAAAACCCACAAAGTGACATTTGGTGTAGGGAAAACAAATAAAGAAAAGAGAAAAGAGACCTTTGAGACCATGGGACTTCTGTACACCACTGCTGGGCTTTCCAGA